ATATTTTAAAAAAATTAGTCAGGGATACCACGGGCAAATTTATTCAGGATAAAATCATTAATCGGTATTACTACGCTCCTTTCAGATTACATGAAATTGGTTTAATTAAAGATGTGTCATGCTGGAAATGTAGGACAGAAAGATGGACTTATGTGCATGCATTATGGAATCGCGCCAAAGTTTTTCATTTTTAGAGCGATGATTTGGATTGTATGGGCCAATAATTTAAGTCTGATTTGCCAACGTCACCACAGATGTCTCCCCTTGAAGATGGAGGTCCTTTAGCACAGTTAAATAAGTGCGTGATAAGAGTATTGATAGTGGATCTAGTTACTTGTACCTCACTAATCCCTAAGCTTTGGAAAGAATCTCAAATTCTGACAATGAAAATGTGGATGCTGAAATGTTGGGAAGGCTTAATTGTAAAAATGAGATGCCAGAGAGGAGTGGAGCAGTTTATTATGAGTCCTTATGTAAAGAAAAAAACAAAGTATAATTTGATGCAACTCCAATTGCATGTATTGGAGTTTAGCAAGTGAATATTACCCACTAACTTATTGTAAATTGTCTCATACACCTCACTCACATCTGTGTCTTTGAAATGCCATTTTCTTTACTTTCTTTTTTCCTGTGATGCTTCCTGTTTTGATGTTTCTATCTGCTCCAGTTATTCCCTCACCCCCTGGTACTTCTCTATTTTACTGTCCTCCTTCTTTCTGATGCTGCTGTCCACTGGGACTGCCACATCAATCTGTGGTCTTCTGCTCCTTGTCAACCACCAACATGTCTGGTTGGTTGGCCAGCAGCTGCTTGTCTGTCTGGAACTGGAAGTCCCACAGGATCTTAGTCCTGCTGTTCTCAACCACCTTTAGTGAGGTCTCCCACTGGGACTTGGGGACTTTCATTCCAAATGTGGCACAGATGTTCCTGTACACTATGGTAAATGGCCTGTATTTGTATAGTGCTTTACTTAGTCCCTAAGGACCCCAAAGCGCTTTACACTACATTCAGTGATTCACCCATTCACACACTGGTGATGGCAAGCTACATAGCCACAGCTGCCTGGGGCGCACTGACAGAGGTGAGGCGCTCTGACTATCCCAGCCACTAAATTGTGCCTCTCAGTGTATGCTGTCCCAGCTTGGATCTTGATGCTATGTGTAATCTCCAGGGGGACCATTGCACAGTTTGCATATCTTGGGTCCTGTCAGTTGTGGTAGATCTGGTCCTTAGCTCGTGATCAGAACTTCTGTACTGTCCTTAAAGTTGACCTCTTAAGCCACTGGTAGGATTTCTTGATGTCAGCCACTTCCTCTCTCTGTCGATAATACATCCCACGCAAGGGAGTGATTGTCCATGATTGTTCCTCTTCCTGTTCCTCATCAGTATCCATCTTCAGCTGCTTGAAGCATTCTTGGAGATCTTCCTGATCTATTTGCAAATGTGTCATCTTTCATCCTGGATTGTAGTGACATGCACTAATCCTTGCCCTCCCTCTTTCTGTTGCTCTTAGAGCCTCAGGATACTGGACTGGACTTCAGGTGGAGACCTCTGTGCATTGTGACGAGTTTTTGTGTCTTGACATCAGTAGCATCTATCTCTTCCTGTGGACGTCTTATTATTTCAGATGGCTATCTGATGACCTTATGTATTAATGACTTGGCTCTTATTCCTCCATTCAGCTGGCTTCTCAGTACCTGGCAAGAGGGATCAGGGAATTGGTGTCTCACTCACTCTTGGTGTGCAGCTTGATGTCATGATGTCTTGATCCTACCTCAATAATCCAGGTAAGAAAATCCTGGATGATGACTTATTCGGTGTCTCCAGACTAAAGAAGTCACATGGATTACTGATGAAACATTTCTCCCACTGAAAAGACTGCATCCAGATGAACACGATCAACTTTCAGGGATTTTAAATGGAAACGTTTGTTTTATGGTCTTATTTAATAGTTTTTGCACACTCTTACCCTGTTTCATCTTAATAACTACTAAAATTGTAAACTTTTTTTTTCCAGGAGGGAAGCAGTCATAGATGTGAACAGATGCAGAGGGCCTGCATCAGGTTACTATAATAGTGTGAGTTACAACTAGATAAGCAGTCTTCAGCAAGGTAACAGCACACTCGTATAATAAGGACTGTCTTTAAATAAATAATATTCTAAATTTGATTGCAAACAAACGCAAGGCTGCAACCCATCAACATCTGGAACTCAGTGGTCGAGACTAAATAAGCTTGAATGAGAGTAAATCTGGGAAGGTCAGCTCCAAAATCCTGCCAGAAGACTTTCCAAGAGTTGGGGGTGTCAGCGTCCATTAAGTTTAAGAAGGCTAAATAGGTGCAAGCATGCAAGCTTTGGTGGTCTTATGCTGCTCTGATTCAAGAAAAACAGCATTTTGTCAGCTGTGCGTATGTACAGTTTGCTAATCTGTCCAATGTAGCACAGCTCCAGGAGTTCCAAAGGTTCAGGAAGACCTGGTTACACATCCAAAATATATATAAGGTAATAATGTATAACATGACATGGACACGAAGCAAGAGATGTAAATGAAAACACACATTACTGAGAAAAACCGAGCAATCAGATGATCCCCTGTAAGGAACCTCTTGGGAAAAGCTGGGAGGAAGGATTGCTGTTTAACAGGAAGAACCAGGCTCAGGGAGAGGCAGCCATCTGCATCGAGTTGTTGGAGGGTGAGAAGAAAGAAAAGAGAAGCACCAAGAAAACCACAAAGTCAATGACTTCTTGTGGTGCTAAACATACATAGGGCCTAAAATATATTTATCTCAAAGGTTTAGGATGAACACAGTCTGGATATATTTATATTTGTCATCATCTTATATAGATCAGTAAGTCCATATACACCTCTCAAAAGAATTAAAGAAACACTTTTTAATCAGAGTATAACATCTTCTGGGATATTTATCTGGTCAGTTAAGTAGCAGAGGGGGTTGTTAATCAGTTTCAGCTGCTTTAGTGTTAATGAAATTAACAACAGGTGCACTTTGAGGGGCAACAGTGAGACAAAAATAAACATGCTGATTTTACAGGCAAAATCACTGACATTTTTCTTTTTATCCTCATCTTTTCTGACTTTTTTTTCCCTACTAGTTTTGGATTTAGCTAGGTTCAGTGTCATTTTTGGTAGCATGAGGCGATACCTGGACCCTACAGAGGTTGCAAAGATAGTCCAACTCCTCCAAGATGATGCATTAATACGTGCCATGGCCAGAAGGTTTGCTGTGTCTCCCAGCACTGTCAGAAGTATGGAGAAGATTCCAGGAGAGCTGGACAAGGCCAAAGGTGGTCCTCAACCCATAAGAAGGATGCGTATCTAGAGTTAAAGATGAGCACTGTCAGAGCTACAAAATGACCTCCAACAGATCACTGGTGTGAATGTCTCTGACCAAACAATCAGAAACAGACTTCATGAGGGTGGTCTGAAGTCCCAGCATCCTCTAGTGGGACCTGCCTGACATCATGGAGCCACATTGGCATTTACCATAGAATACCATAATTGGCAGGTCCACTACTGGCACCCTGTGCTTTTCACAGATGAGAGAAGGTTCACTCTGAACACATTTGAGAGACGTGAAAGCGCCTGGAAAAGCCGTGGGGAATGTTGCTGCCTGTAATATCTTTAATCATCAGTGGTGGTGGGTCAGCGTTGGTCTGGGGAAATGCATCCATGGAGCGACGCACAGGCCTCGACAGGCCTGGCAACAGCTCCTTGGACCTTCCTTCAGACAATCTATCGTCTCATTAAGAGCATGCATACATACAAGCACATGGGGGCCATACAAACAAATGGGAACTATTTTGAGTTGCTGCAATAAAATGTATTAACCTTCTGGAACATTTTTTTCCACTTTGATTTTTGGGGTGACTTTGAATTCAGTCCTTTGTAAGTTGATAATTTTAATTCCCATTAAACAATGTGGCACTCCTTTATTCCTGACACATTACTCAGTCCATATCAGTATAGGTATCCAGCATCTTATTTCCCATTGAGATCTGATGTCTTTTCAAAATGTTCCCTTAATTTTTTGAGTAGTGTAATATACAGTCATATTTTTAGGCTGTACATCTGATTTGGGGCAGACTAATGGAAGAAATATAAGTCTTCATTTTGTTAAAATTCAAGGGATGCTTTATAATGTACATAATATACACTCACGAGACACTTTATTTTGTCAGTCTTGCTAGTATCGGGTTGCATTTAGCAAGGTGCTGGAAATATTCCTCTGAGATTTTGGTCCATAGTGACATAATAGCATCACACAGTAACTGCAGATTTGTTGTCTACACACCCATGATTCCAGCACATCTGAAAGGTGCTCTATTGGATTGAGTTGTATTGGATTGTCATCTTGAAGAAACCTGTTTCTATATTTGTCAGCTGCATGGCCACGCTGCTAATCATGATGCACTCAATCCTGATGGCAGCAGGCATCAGAAGATGGTAAACTGTGGTCAATAAATCCTTTGACCCATAATCAATAGTCAAAGTTAATACTAAGGGGCTCAAAGTGTCACGGTAGAAATCTAGAGACATCAGCTGTACCTAATAAAGTGACTGGTAGTAGATTATCTGTCATTATCTATTAGAGTCACACTGTGCTGCCAAATCATTCATTTCTAAAAGTCTTGCATTAATTTTGCTTTGTCACTCATATGCTGCCTTGTAGCACAATACTCACACTAATGCACTCGGCCAGCGCGCTACAATGCTTGACTGACGGATGGAAAACTTTTCTTCTTTAAATATTAAAGCCTAAGAATACATGTAAAATTCATGCACAGCTGCCACACTGCAAATCGCTAAAAGATCAACCAATGAAGGAAAACTTGAGAGAACTGGATTTACTTCCAGCTGACAGATGGATTCAACAACACTTAACCTTTTAATCCCTGTACATATGGTGCATGTTTAGGGTTGTCGACTGTCAAAACTTGAACAGCAAAAATAAAAAGGCAAAACACGTCACACCCTTTTGTTTATATATATAAATGTATTTATTTAAGTTAATCATTTCTCCTCATTCAAAGTTGAATTTCTGCATTATCTATAAAACAGGGAACAGTTAGAAGCGCTGTACAGTCTGACAACAAAACTAGGAACTGCAGCTGAGTACACTGTGTATATATGTACATACTGTACACACACTGATGTAGGTATATACAAAAATATACACTTTTACATGTGTGAACCCTCGGGTTGCATCAGCCACCTCGTAATGTGAATACCAGCCATTCAGAGCCACATGCCTCTCGGAAAACACATTAACCCACCAGCTCACACCCCACCCCATATCCCACCCATATTGATTACTGTTATTATCTGTCATTACCAGTTGATGAGACTTTTACAGTGTATTGTCTGCTGTGCATGATCTGCCCCTATTGTGCCCCGACTCATTTACATTGGCACAGCCGCTCGTAGAAGACGGAGAAGCTTAAGCAGTCCTGAGCTGGATGTCTCAGCAGGGCTTTTCACTTATTAGAGAGAGGGCCCTTCTTCTGTTAATCCTATGAGGGGATTTGAGGTGGGCCGATAGGGGGAAAACGTCCCAGGTTTTTGACAAGTCGTGACTGAACTTTTCTCCGTTTAAAGGAAAAGCTGAACGAACACAAAGATTTTGCTTCAAGCTTCCTTTTCTTGTTTAACTCTAGCAAATAACCCCTTGTTTCCCTCCATAGCGAAATAAATAATGTCTAGTGGCTCAGTGGGTAGGATGCTCTTATTTACTGACTCAAGCTCATGTTTTATGTTATTAAAGAAGACGACCATCTGCAGGATTGTCAGTAATATTCTTCTTACTCGATGTTTTCCCTTGTGAATTTATTTCAATAGGCATTTTTTGGTTTGTGCGTCATCATTTTGGCTCATACCTAAAATTGTTTTTTATACGCACAAGATCACTTGGTCATAATTGGATCACAACCAAAACAAAATGTTCTGCATTATTGTGATGCAGCCTAGCACGCTTTAACTTTTGATTAAATGGCTCCAAACAGGTAAACGCACTACGAAAAGATGGAACCATGATATGATACTGGGGATGACTTTTGTTGAGCTATGTTTCAGAGTTGTTACTCCTCTAATGGATATTTTAAAGAATATTTTAAAGTTTTTAAGACATGGAAACACGCAAACGACCATTTTTAATCCCCTCTCTATCATAAAACTGACACAAGACCAGCAGATAACAGCAGTCCTGGCCACAGTGGCTTCTACAAGTTGAGACTGGAGGGAAGATACTCATTACACTGCAAGCAACCTGTCACGGAACAAGTCCTCCGAGACTGTTTTCCAAAGACTTTCACCCCTTCTTATTCTTCATCATACAGCAAATTCGGAAAAGGAAATTTGGCACGTTGTGCAAAAGATGTAAACATTTAACCATCCTTTTGAAATGAGGCGCTGCACTTAAGTGTTACAGTCATTTCTTCTGTGTGTAACATAAAAAAGATTAAGAAATAAAATAGCAAACCTTATGACAAGTATAAGACTAGCTTTAAAAAGAAAAGGCTTCAGACAACACGGGAACTGTTGCAGACAGGACTGACATGGTCACTCAGGTGAGCACAGTCGGCTTCTGCGGAGTAGCAAACTCACATGGAGATCTTATAAAGCAAAGACAGAAACTACCTCAAGTCCTTCTTCCTTTTTTTGTTTCGCAGCTGATCATGTGTGGCAATAGAGGGCGCTAAAAACTACTAAATAAAACCTCAGCATGTTGGAAACCTTCACTTATTTTATGCTGACTGAGATATCACCACTACTCAAGAGGCTGCACAATTTCTGCAATAATCTAGACGATAAGGCGATGAAAAAGTAAATGAACTAACTACTAAAATGTGTACTTGCACACATCTAAACCGAGACAGATTTTGCATGTATCCTATGACAGATCTTCCCATTTACACCCTTTGAGAATCAGCTAAAAAGAAAACAAAACAAAACAAAAAAAAACTTCAATGGTGCCCTTTCAAGAATACATCTAAATTAAACATTTTTATATTTTTCTACTTTTAATAAGATTATTTCTCCTGTAACCTGCCTTTAAAATCTCCACTGAAGCGTCTGATTTCACAGCACACGCTGAAATGAAAAACTGATGTTCAAACCTAAATTTCACTTAATGCTTCTCCTGTATTGCAACCATGCTTACTTAAGACACTGAAAGTGTTTCATTTTGTTTTGCATTTTCCAAACCAAACCAGACTTTTCCATGTTTAAAGTAACACATCATCATGAAATCAGATTTGGGCCTTTGGATTTAGCATCAAAGGCAACACCAAATTTTTCTAAGCAGGGCCTTGCCTGAGTTTCTCTCTGGCCTCGTGCCATGTTGTGGGTCCCCTGCCCTGCAGCACAATGCAGCAACCTGTCAAGTCACAGGATAGGCTTTTCAAACCAGCTGCAGCTTCAGCTGACCTTCTCAGCTCCACTCACCCCACTTATAAATGAACATATAAGACAAGGCAAACAGGTACACAGAAAAAAAAGTATCAGACAGCAAAGCAACCGAGGCCAGCTGTCTTTGTCAGTTGGCGGCTCAATAAAATAAAACCAAAGGAGTTTCGGATGCGAGTGTGCACGAGAGCGGGAAGGACTGAGAAAAGCAGAGAGCGCACGACTTTAAAGATGACTTGAGATTTCAGCTTTCCTGTACCCAAACTGTACATCTGTTCAGAAATATTTTGTGTTCCTGTAGTTGCCTTGAGGTCGCCAAGTGATGAGTCACACTAAATTTAATCAAGCGCAATTTTCCCAAACTCCACTGTCATTACTCATCGGTGACTAACAGCACAGGAGATCATAGCAGTGAAGATGAGGAAGTGATGTGAAAGCCTAAAGGAGATTAGAAACAAAACATAACAAACAAACTATTTAAAAGGCAAGAGTTAATGGACTCGGAAACAGATAAATGTACTGCAAATCGTATCAGTAACACCACCTGGTAACAAAAACTGCACCGTTTCATGACACCAAGATATTGTTGATCTGCATAGTAGTGTGGCAGGAAAAAAAGAAAAAAAAGAAAGAAAGAGTATTCTTATTTCTACTTTGCATCAGCAAAAGCTGTGCAGTCCTGCTTGTGCAATCAGAAAAATCTGCTCTCCTCTTGCAGAAACAGAGTGAGGACAAACAGTAAAACCTTGTTTACTGCAGTTCCAAACTTCAGAACAGATGGCTCATCTAACAGGAAAGTTAGAGGAAAAAAAATATGTTGATGTAAATCACTGTGACTCAGTGCAACGCTGGAAACATGTCGGCGATACATGCAGTCAGAAGTTGCTTCGCTACTTGTCGAGACTTTTCTTTTTGCATGAAATCTGCTCTCAGGCTGGAATAAGCACAGTTTGCCGTTGTCAATAGAGAGACGGACGTCTGACACCTCGATGAATTAAAAAAACCCAAACAAACCCCACTTTACTTTGCTGCAGGGTTGCATTGTTCCTCCTGCAAGGTCTAAGTGTAGTTTTCTTCTTTAACTTTGTAAAAGTGCTGGAAGAGGAGAAGCAATCATCTCAGTCACGTCTATGCAAACTCTACATTACTGGTAATCTCATTACTGTGTTATTAGAAATGCCACATTAGCAGGCAACACCTGTTGGCTCTGGAGAACAAGCTGCAACATGAATCCAGTTTAGATGTGATTGTTAGACAGTAAACGTTCCACAATGGCAACATATAGACACAGGCAAAGGAAAGCAGCTGTGCAGGAAAAACAAAGAAAAAAAAAAAAGATTAAAACTGAGCCTCTCCACGGGGAGCAGGCACAGAGCAGCGAGAGTATGTAAAGAAAACCATTTTAATCACTGGTCTTTCTGAAACTCAAAACATCCTTTTAAAAGTTGGTTCCATTTTTTGATTAGAAAGTAAACCAAAATAAAAGAAAAAGGAAAAAAAAGAGAGACTGGTGACTTATTCTCTGGGTATTTTCTCTGTGGAAGTATTGGAGGCTGCAGCAGCCAGTACTACAGCCCAAAGACAGGAAAATCTTCAGGGAGGCATTCACAACACTTCTGAGGGGGGGGGAAAAAACCCCATGCAAAGCAGCGAAAACCCTCCCAGATTGTCTTCACCTCCACCAAGAAAGAGTCTGTAGAAAAACTGCATTCTTTGCCTCTTTTCTCTCGGTTGACTCTGTAAACCAGTGAGAATAAACGAGAGGAAAAGCTCAAGGCCTCGAGTCCATTTCCTCCCTTCACATCACTCAACAACCCACACCTCCCCGGAACCACAACCTGAAGGCTCCATCTGCCATTACAGGATGCTTCCAAGAAGAAGAAGAAGGAAAAAAAGCAAGTCTCTGTGGACAGTTAACAGCAAGAAATAAAAAATATGAATAAGAAAATAAAACAAGTACACCAAAAAATTCTCTTTCCACCAGCATTAAAGAAAGGAGAAGAACAATTTCGCCGTTTGCAGCTGGAACCATCAATGAGAAAACACTGAGGTATGTATTTTTGAAACAAAAGCCTCTTCGTCTCCTTTATCCTCGTGATCGCCACCATCCATCCACCACATGCAGTCAGGTTCCTGTTAACTCCATTTGGGTCTCCCGGCCCCTCCCTTCATTACGCGTGGCTCATCGTTTAGGGAGATGGGTGAGAGAAGGGTGCGCACGTGACTGGCTGTACCTCTGTGGAGGAGGAAGGAGGAGAAGGAGGAAGAGTTTGTCTTTCTTCTTGAGTCTATTCATCTTTTTAGCCGCATCTCAGGAGTCTGTAGGTGTTTCTCTTCGCTATACCGAGTCTTCCGGGGATCTGGAGCGCCCCCTACGATTGTAAATTGAGAGTGAACTTCCACTGCTGGGTGAGGCTCGGGCTGCAGACCTCCACAGTGAGTCCGCCCATCCTGGCGCTGCGGCTGTCCAGGCAGAGGTTACTGCCCACGTGACGAAGCTTCGAGTTGGACTCGATCTGCTCCCATTTCTGGACGACAAACAACACAATGTCACAAATATTGAACGCTGTACCTTTTTTGGGGTATAAACAACAATAAAGGCGATTTCAGTGTGTGTTTACCTGTCTGCTGTCATTCTCTCTACAGCCTTGTAGTTTGATGAGGGAACCAGCTGTTCTGTCCACCACAGTCAGACACAGGTCCATATGTTTTACCGATTTATCCTTGGTTAGAGCCCATTCCTTTATAAAAATGGATACACGTAAAATATTAGCACACGTAAAGCATGCTGGGATGTTTTCAGCAAGGCTTTATCTAATAACACGTCTTTTATATCAAGTAATGATCATGTTTTCCTCTTATTTACACAGGAAAAATAACAAAAATGTATTTTGCAAAATGGGCACCATGGGCAGCATCGTGATAGAGAGAGAAACTGGAGCTCCCTGTGGAAATCTCACAAGCAGGACTCTGATTGCTCTGAGAACACAGTGCCCATGTTAAAGCCACATTAAGGCCATTAAATAAACCCAGCAGGTAAAGCTTGGTGGCTGAGAAAATCTCTGTATATTTTAAATAAATTTTAGAAAGTATACAAACCCATAATAATAACAACAATAACAGCCGTTAGTTTAGTAAAGAGACTGCCTGGTATGAGTGTGAATAAAATGGAGACATTATTTGTGGTACTTCACTTCTATTGTGTCTCTTTGAGAATGGCTAGAACGGATTGAATAACATCACAGCGAATGACTTGTTTGCAGTTTTCATTATGTGGGATTAAAAATCAATAACCAAGTTTTTCAGTTTTCCACTTCCGCTTGGTGATAAAATTGCATTTTAAAATTCTCCCCAGTCTCTCATACCCCCCAAAATCCAAGGTTGTTCATTTTGCCCTCCCAGCACCGCAGCTGTTACTGACTACATTCACAATTTTGTTTGTTTTGTGCCCCTGGTAGAAATTAAAAAAAATAAAAAAAATCATTCATTCATTTACTATTCATTTTAAAAAATGAATAGTAAAAACAAAGTACACCCTCTTCCAATTCTAACGTTTTTCATATAAGAGGATAATAAAGCACCATGTTTGCTTTTTGCCAAATGTGGCCCTGTGAATTACAGCAAAGCGTCTCCTCTTCTGTCTCGTCTTCTAAAGGATGTTGCACAACCATTAATATTTCACGGTTTGACCTTGGGAATATTGGTACATGTCCTGAACATTTTCCACTTGTGAGCAGATATGTTTCTTAGCTGTATTTGCTGTATTTATGAAGCAACACTGGAAACAGTAAAGACCTGCAAATCCACGAGGGTAAAACAAAAAAAGCCAGCGATCGCTGACTCGACGCGACAGCAGTTTTCTTCTCTACACCTGTCATTCTATTTCAGGATTTCAACTATTTGAGAAACTGCTGACAGAAACACTCCCCACAAACTTACACACACAGACATAGTGTGTATCCTCCTCAAGGTACTCCAAGAGCTGTACATTTCCTCTAAGAACAATGTTAAAATGCTGTTATGCACTACTCTATATTTAAGTTAAAGTTTCAATAGATCTGCTCTACTCTAGTCTTAACAACCTCTTGTTTAAACATCTTTGTCCTTTTGATTACAATACATTTACTTTAAGTATGGCACTGTGACCTTAAATACGTAAATCCTTTATCATACCCCCTGTGCTTTCACCATATGTACACCACTTGCCACTCACGAGTCGCTAAGGTTAGGCTTTTACAAGCTGACCTGGGTGTCCCCTCGCCGTAACGCTACCTGGTTTCCCCCTGCATTGTGACATTCATAGACGCCGACCACACCATCAGCAAAGTGACCCAAGGTGTCCAGACAGTTTCCTCCCTGCTGCAGGGCTCCGAAAGCAATGTCCTGGTGATCTGGGACCCTGAACACACACACGAAAAAGTGTTAGTGAAGCGTGTATTCAGTTTTTCAAGCTGTTAAAAAGCCAAACAAAGAAAGCGTACAGGCCGAGATACAGCAAGAGAGGAAAATAGTCAATTTTCTTCTGACAAAACAGGACAATGGGGCTTTAATGTTTCTGTAAAAGTTAAATTATTCAAATTAGAAGCATTAAAAAGGTGCAATTTTAATGTTCCTCCCCCTGTGAAAACATAAAAGCAAGAAGTATGCCTGAAATTTAATGTGGTTTTTATGCTTTTAAAGATTGTTTCACTGTGCAGTGATACACCATGCCCCAGGCTCATGCTAAATTTGAATACGCTCCCTGAAAGTCCCACTCTGACCAGTTGCACATGTGCATTTCACAGATATGCAGAAAGCCCATGAACCTATCAGCAGTAGTTCTACTTTATTATCCTGAGACATGTGATGGAGAAGATTTGGTCCAAACAACCTGAACTGTTCCAGTGTGCGATGGTGATTCTGGTGTGTCAAAAATAAGGTTTTTTTTGGCAATCCTCAAAATAAATCTTTGTTTCTCACCAACGCTGCTCAACAGATTTAGATGTAAGCAACTTTGTACTTACTTAAAAGTACATTCAAGCTCAAGGTTTGCCTATCTGACAACCTGGAGGAGTACCAGAGTCTGTGACAGCGGTCATAACTTGACCTTCAGGCAAAATGTAGCAAAAACGCTGGGAGTGGTGCAATCTAGCAGTCAGATTTAAATCAGAGGTGCTCTCTGCTGAACTTGTGGACTCATTCACATCAGCCACTAATTGCGAACCTGAGAACCTTGTGAAAATGTAATAATGACCTTGAATCATAACTCCTGGTTGGGCATTAGCGTCACTGCAGTCTCATTTGTGTATAAAACATCCCGCCACACATTAGCACAAAGTCATATTTCAAACTTCTGGCTGAGGAGTGGTCTCCTAACAATTTGGTAAATGCAATTTAGTTTTGATTATACAACATTACATGTCATGCAGTGTAACACTGGCTCCATCATATTGCACAGACTGCCCTCATTTTCTTACCTCAGCTCAGGGTAGACATTCTCCAGGTACCATTTGAATGGCTTACAGTTTAATCTCTTCTTCATCTCCAAACGACTCTGGATACTGAGGGAGAGGAAGGAGATGGAGGAAGAGAATTAAAGGGTTGAATCAGCTGTGGTTTCATGTTTAAATTATACGCCTCGTCAGTCGCTTTGTAAGGGGAGAGAGTGGAGGCTCAGGGCATGTCTGAGTCTAGATCCTTTGGGGGAAATATAACTGTTTGGACTGACACTAGAGGGGAGATGCCAAGTCTGTTCCCACAAGGTCACATAATAAGCATATATAGTGCTGTCTAGCTACTCTGGTTGAATGCGAAAGTGCTTATTGCTGTGTAGACTTCTGGATGTGTGGCATAAAGCAGAAGGAAACTAGTATAAGGGTGAAAAGCATTCCTTAACACACTTACAGTACTTACTTTGTCCTGCTGGTGGCATAAAACTAAGAGGATCACAAAGTCAGCAGGTGTCACCCCCTAAAGAACATGAATGTCAATCCATTCAGCAGCTGTAGGTATTTTTTTTTTAATGGCGGATGACTGACGCTGTCACTACGCTTGAAACAATCCTGCGCCAACCTTTTTAAGGAGCGTTGTCATCCCTTTAGGGCATAAATAACAGCAGCGTTTCCGGTATTGTAAATCAGCCACTGACTTTTTGTCCTCTTCTGAGCTCCATTAACATCCTCACTTAAGTATAAAAGGGAAAAATTACACCTTTTATGGCTTACATTCTGCTAATTGGCAGTACAATTATAATTATTATGTCCATTCAAGTGGCTGCCTTTGTAATTTTATGATCCAGCTCCATTATTATGTTCAACTCCCACAGGGCTAATACTTCATAGTACTTACTTCCCATAGGGGACATTTCTTGCTGAGGGGACAGCGGCATAGTAGAAGTTTTTATACTCGTCCATCCACACCTCTGCTGCTCTCCTTGTGTTCCTGATGGATGGGTGAGAAGAAGAAAATGCACAAAGGCGAGGGAGACAATGGGTGAGGATAAGACCGAGAGTCGGTGAGGATTTGAAAAAAAGAAAAAAAAAGACAGAAAGGTATGTGGCACACTGCACGACTCCTGAATGGACGTGTCTGTTTGGTGGTTGTGACACACTCACTGCCTGCTCATACACCCCCCGACAGCCATCAGAGGGCACAGTTTTCCTGGCTGTACAAATGTGAATGTGTGTTTATTTTCCCTGTTATTGCAGCCGTTGGTCAACAGCGTGTGCATGCTGCCAAACAAAGTGTTGACGTGTGACATTTGACAATTTGTCAGATTTTTATTTTTCGAGTGATGTAACGGACTTCTGACAGACTACGTGTTGGCTGGAGTCAGTAAAATACAACTCAATCTTTGCAGTCCAGAGCAGCTCAAAGTATGACACTAACAGTCCTTCCTTAGACCGAATCAAGACAAGAGAAAGAGTGCAACGATGATTATAGCAACGGGGGGTAACAGTGAGACCTTAGTAGCTTCTGTTGCTCTCCCAGTTTGCAAACCTCAGTACTGGAACCAGTTTATATCGGCCTCACTGTTTATGGATTGCACAAACACTATTTTTGCAATCCAGTTTCTTAGGAACAGATATGCTCCTCTGGTTCATGCAGTGTCTCATAAAGTAGGATAACATAGTGAGAAAGTTAAACAAGCACTCCAATTACTATTTTTGTGAATTTTCAGGCAATTATTTCACAGTTCAGACTTAAAAATAGGGTTAAAACTGCTAGCAGGGTTAATTATAGCCATAACTGCAGTACAATCAGCTTCATTATGTTTACCTGTGAATCCCTAAAGTGTAAATGCTTTGACCAAATTATAGGGAAACTAAGTGCCTCTTTATGTGATGTCAAAAGCAAAAGTTATGACACGCTTGCCGGAAGCCTTTCATATTCTGCAGAAATTCTCTATAACCCACAAGTTGCGCAGTTTTAAATAGCGAGCAGTGGTTTTGTCTTAGTGAGGCTCACATATTTCTAGACATTTCCAAACTCGGCTTCCACTTACTGGAAGAGAAGCTTCAAGAAAACAACTCTTCTAACATCTGAAGGTTACCAGCGACCGTGGTGACACTAGATGCCCTATCATTATTACGGTATTTTATGGGTTTATTTTGATGTGCAGTCTCTTTGTCTTGCAGGATTTTTTTACTCTCATGCACCTGCATCCCAAAAATACCGACGCCACACACTGCAAACTTTATTTAGGTCCACAGGGGCTTTTTGTCACATAGCAAGCTGCTGCTGCCACAACACGCCTATTATAACTCTGCTGTGAAATGCTGCTCCCTGAAGAACAATTACAATGTCATCCAGGCAGACAAAACAGGTGCCGTCTCCGAGGTCCCCAGAGTCACTGCAGCAGCCACAGGGATGCTGTCTGGGACTTGATTCAGGCTGAAGGGCAAGGCGCTGGCTCAGAGCACAGATGAAGCTGCTCTGCTCTGTAATAGAGAACTCCACTGCACCCACTGATTAATAAGTGATGTCTTCGATTGTTAGGAATTGTTGTGCAACTAATATGAGACTGTGTTCAGTGTTATGAAACTGATGAAAACATTAGCAGTCCACCGGTGGTGTCTAATCTTTGACACTGTTTGAATAAATGTTGGTTTAATGTTGAATTTCATCCACAGTTTTTTCCCCTCTAAGGTTCTACCGAGCTATGAATTAAATCTCTTCAGGTATTTGTATGTAACTAACTGATAAGAAATGAGGGGCTGAAGTCAACTAATAGTCCCGACTCAAAAATAGGAGCTACTGCAGAATAGGCACCACATGTCACCCTGACATGCTCTTTATTTCTTGCTCCCCTTTAAAAATATTAATCACAGCCAATACCAGAGTAACCACAGTCATTTCAAGCTCCTTGTTATCCGTTTGTTTATCCTCCCACATGTTTACCAATCGGGAGACTGAAGGTTTGTTGGGCTCATTACCAAGGGTGGTTACTCATGGTTTCAAGAGACAGATCCATATTTGCCCATGTATCACATTCTCCACTACTCGTGTTCAATGTTTATGGTGCCGCATATATCGCAGCCCTAAAGGGCAGCACATGGAAAAAACAGATTTTCTTCACTTTTATTCACAGTTTTTATTTTTTTTTTATTTTTGAAGGAAATATTCATGAACTTGTTTAATTGATGGTACTTTGTTTTAATTACTCAACGCTGATTTAATTCTCAGAGCGTTAGTAAATGGTAAATGGCCTGTATTTATATAGTGCTTTACTAGTCCCTAAGGACCCCAAAGCGCTTTACATATCCAGTCATCCACCCATTCACACACACATTCACACACTAGTAAAACTCAATAACTTGTTTGGTAATTTATAAACCGCAGCCACAGAAAATAATGAACCAAAAGAGACCTATACACATGATCTGTGCTCATTTCCAGGTCCATAGTTTTACTCCAGGACTCAAGGGAGCAATTCACACAACTCACAAAGAGAAGTCTCTTTTATCCTACACACTCGGTCTTGGTGCAGCCCCTCAGGTCACCTGCTGTCTGAATTAAGCCTTTTTACCTCTATTCCTCCTTGTTTAAGGGTCTAAGCTGCAGGTGGGTGGAGCTGTTGTGCTCAAAGGCAGAGATGAGCATAGCACCGATATGCCCTCTCTTTGTTATCACAGAGAGCCAAGATTAGAAAAAACTGTCTGAAAAGGCAGAGATGAGAGCAAACGGACATCTGAGCTTTGGCTTGCAGAGACTATTTGACGGTACCCTGACCTTATAAATATGAGGAGCTAACATTATAACTGTATATTAGGCTATAATATATATTAGTATATTGCTTTTAAGCAAATAAGTACATTACTGAAATTCAAAGTGCTTTAAAAAGAAAATCCAGTATAAATATTGAAAAACCATCATCAAAATGGAAAGGAAGAGCTTAAACTGCTTCTATGGTAAAAAGTATCATAAAATGTCAAGGTTTTTCTGAGACTGCTAGGTCACTTAAACATCAGCTGATTGACTGTATTAGCTGTCAGTGAACCGCAGATTTAAAACAAACAAACAAAAAAGTCTTCCTAACCCTGTTAAAGTTGGAACACGCTCAGCTAGTCCTTTTCTGTGCGGTTGTTCTGCTGCACAGAAAAGTGTAAATCAAAAATCTTCAGTTTCAAGCTAAACAGCAAACTCATCTGCTGATGAAAATCATGTGACAAGACAAAAAGGCCCCGGAGGATCCAGTAAACGAACCTTGTGGTGGGAATGTTTTCTCAAAGGCTGTTTCCACATTAAATTTAGTGAGTGAAATTTGAACCTCAGGATAAACATCCTCAGTATTTGGTCTTGAAATGTCACTACAGTTGAGTCAAACTGTCTCCTAACTTTAACTGACTCTTAGAAATGAAGAGTGGGTTGTGTTAGAGCAGGTCACCATTTGACAGAAAGGTCAGGGGTTCAATCATCGTCTTCTCCGGTCTGCATGTTTTAAGTGCCCTTGGGCAAGATTCTGTAAACATAATTGCTCCCTATGCATGTGTGTGATCGATAAAAGCAATGTGGCTTGTACTGTAAAAGTGCTTTGAGTGGTCATTAAGACTAGAAAAGCATTATATATAAAGGACAGTCCATTTAGCCTCCACATTTCTTGTGATTTACAGTGAAACTACTTAAATAGAGATTTTCCCTCCCATATTTTATGTAAGGAGAAAACAAGTTTTTTATATATGCTCAGCAGCAATAATAATAAATAAATTGAATGAATTCAAGTACTGCTATTATCCAAAGCTCTTTGCATTTGATTACCCATTCACATACTGATGATATGGAAGGCTGGGCCTAACCTCAGAATGCATTTGGGCTTTGGTGTGTTTTTGGATATGACAAATAGAGAACTGTGTGGCTTCACCTTCTGAGCTAAAGTCACCTAATAAACCCAAATGCATTAACTGTAGTGTCATTATGGAGATGCACAGGCTGCAACATGGGGAATTTTGATGAACTATGTGATGCGTGTAACCTGACTGGTTAAATGAGTGTTCGGCCCTCTTGTATGTGTGTGTCTGCATGTGTGTCACCTTGCGAACACAGTGCCACTGCCACCGGGGAAGGTATAAGGATGCTGCTTTCTGAAGACGTGGCCAACTCTGCTGCAGGGGATGATCTCCAGACTGCCGCCACATTGCCACACACGAAATGAGATCTCTAAAAACACACACAGACATACACGCAGGCGGAAAAAATGAATAAAAACAGGTAAGTTAATTACTACAAGCCAAGAAAAAGTAGTTAAGTTAATCCACATCTGCATATCATGAATGTTTGGAGTGTGTTGACATTGTTAGATTTGCTCTCCAGCATTGTCAGCATTTGAGTGAGCGTTCTTTAAATGAGCACAGCAATGTCTGAACTGTCAATCCAGTTCTGATTCATTGGACCGCCTCGAGAGGAGCCTGAATCACTCCGTCAGCTGTTTATTCTTACCGATTTCCCAAGTGCATTCAGACAAAAGCAAAAGGGAGACACAGCTGCTATTATATCATTGTACTGTTTGCAAATGAGCTCTATTGTGCACACTCTGCACTGACTCTAAACATTATTACACTGCCACTGTAATTTCCTAAGATCAACTGTACTAAGGAAGACATCTTTTACCTAGATATGACAACCAAATTACTGAAGGATTTTCTATTATCTCGTTGCTGGCATGGGCACCCAGATGATCTCATGAGTTGATCACAGTGTGAGGCAAATCCACGTTGCTGCTTTAGCACCAGATCTCACAGGGGAGTGGAGATTTTATAACTGGGCAGGATTTTGTGGTTTTCTGAGCCAAAAGTGCAGCATTTATGAGGGAAAGAGATTACAGTTGCAAGCTCATTTAAGTCTTAAAGATATAGTTCAACATTTTGGAGAGACATGTATTAGGTTTTCTGCAGAGAATGAGATCAGAGGTTTGATACAATTATCACAGTTACATGTCAAGTATAACGATGCAGCCAGTAATCACGTAGCTTATCATTGAGAGTACAAACAACAGGAAACAGCAAACCCAGCTCTATCCAAAGCTCACAAAATCCTCCATTGTTTGTTTAGCCAAATCACTGTCCGGCATATACGGATGTGCAAACATAACGTCAACAAAACACCAAAAAAATTGACTGCCTGTTGGATGCATAGAATCAGCAGACTCAGTAAACCGGTTCTTGATGTGTTTATGGCTTCAATTACTAATTTCAGGTCTTTTTAAACATAAAATTACAAAAACAAAAAGTAAATAAATCAGGCAATGTTTTAGTGCAAGGTTATTTCGTTATTTAAAGTCGCTACTGAATGATCAGATGACAGCAGCAAAATGCTGGGCTTGAGCTTTAAAAGAAAAGAAAAAAAAGGGACTTCAATTTATTTGTCATCACTGAGTTTCATTGAGAAATATAGCTGGGTGTCATCTGCATAGAAATGAAAGTGTATGGAGGGCAGTTCTAATAATATTACCTAAGGGAAGCATGTATACGGTAAAAAGGACCGGCCCCAACACGGAACCCTGTGGAACACCGTGGCTAACTTTAATGTGTAAAGAAGACAAAAACATTTAAATGCACAAATTTGGTTTGATATGATTCAAACCAATGCAGCACATGCCCTTGAATGCAAACCGACTGCTCTAGTCTCTGTATTAAAAGTTTATAACATTTTATACATTTATCATTTCATAATGATATAACATCATTATACTCAATGGACATATAGGACTGTGCTATTAAACCTGCTCAAAGAAAGTGAATGAGTGTATTTTCCAAAACACTCATTAAAACCTTAAAAGCCTGGAGACAAAACGGGAAACCCAGGACATGCCTGCGACTTCACTTGACTTTCCACTTTTAATACCTGTGTTTTATGCAATTATTGATTCTTTCACTAATCAAGACTTTCTATTCTTGCGACATCCATTAGACACTTTCTTCAGTCTACCATGAGCTTCTAAATTGCACCACTCACCGAGATTTTCCCCTCCCCATACATCCATCATCATGTCATACTTTCCCAGCTGCTCAAAGTACTCTTTATCCATGACAAAGAGGCCACCTGCTATCATTGGTGTCCTGGAGGGGCAGAAAAAAAACAAAAAAATACAAGAAACAAGAAAATTGAGAAGGCATTGGTAAAAATTGAGTAGATTAATACTCTGTTAGTTGCATATGATACAACCTGTAACTTTTGAAAGTGTGTTTGTCTTACTTTATAGGAGCGATCGGGTTGCCTTGTCTGGCTCGTCTCTGCTCCAGAGTCATGTAGTCCCATTTAAACACCAAATTCCAGTCAAAGCCTGCCAACATAAACACACAGACAAAAAAACACTGCACAATTACGACCATTAGCTGGGATTAAGTAGCAGTCTGGTTGTATAATTGGATTTGGCAGGTTCATATTAGATGACTGGGTAAATCAGCAGTTGCCTGACTTCAAAGGCAACTGCTGTAACTGTTTAAGTGTTAGCAGAGAGAGTTAAACTAGTGTAACTGGCATGTATCTGTTCTACAATACACTGCAATCAGCACAGCCAGTACACCACTTTGGCTTTTACATTAATATACCTCACAGACCCACACAAAAAAGAGAAATGTTGCAATGCAAGTGCCAACACTTGCTAATCCAGCCAAATTAAGAATGCGACTGCACGGCAGTTTCACATTCAGAACATTAAATTTTTTATTATGTGAAGTCGTTAATTAATTATTAATATAAAAAAGAGTGGGGGGTTTTTAAGCTATGAGCAGTTCTTCCATTTCCAGTGTGCATTGCACCGTATGTAAGCTATATCCATCAGCATCACAGTGGACAAAAAAGGATATTTAATGCGTAAAATTACATATATGACACCAATTATTTAATTAACTTGAATTCATTAATGTCCTTTCTGGATATCATCTACTGGAGTTATACTCAAGAAGGCACATGCCCAAATCAGTTGGATTGGACATTAAACTGTCTTTAACCCACCAGCTCTCCAGTACAAAGTAGGCGTGATGTTCCATTCAGCCTATGTCAGAATAAAAGAAGGAACTGTCTAAAAGATTTATGATGAACAAGTGGGGGATCATGTGTGCTGCCTCATTAAATAATAATATGATAATATCTGCAATACTTTGAAGAGGAGGCACTGTTCAGTGAACATTTCCTGGTGAGAAACAGTTTGAAATATACCATGTTCCTCAGGAGGCCTCGCCTTAAGTATGAGAAATACCTGGAGAGAACAGTTTATGAACTACAGCACTGGATGGCAAAACAGCTGGTCTTAATGCGGCTGTGAGATAACAACGTCAATTCATTGTAAATGAAAAGCATTAAAAAGCAAATCCTCTAAAACCGTAATAAATGCAAAGCCTCGCTGTCAAGCTCGACTGACTAGACTACACAGGAGTCGAGTGTGTCTTTTGTGTACTTTACCTCCTTTCAGATCGGCAGAGGCGCCGACATATTGAAAGTTGTCCATGTTGATGACATCAATGATGGGAGAAACTACTCGTGTCTTATCCTGAGAAGGAAACACGGAGACAGTAATTAAACAAAGCCACTTCAAGGACGGATGCAGGTTTGGAATATCATCAATAAATATTTACTACAAGTTAATTAAAAAGGACAAAATTATGCAGAACTACAAAGGACTCAGAGCACTTAACTGTGTTTGCGAAATTTTAGAGCGTAAGTAAATATTCCCATCTGCAAGCTTATTTTATGTTCTATATTTAGTTTACTGCCACGTTTATGACGTAAAACTAAACGTTAATCAGCCATTTCCTACCAACACCAAAACAAACCCAAGCTTTAAAAATCACAGAGCCACATCACCCGGCAGTTCGAAGAAAGGATTACTCAAGCGGCCCGAATGACGAAAACAGAAACAGCTTGCAGATATTGGGGAGTTCATTTGTTTGAGCCTGAGACATTTTTATAAGACAAGGTTTCACAGTGTATGGTGGGATTCATTATTTAGAGAAGCAGCTAAAGCAAAAGAAAAACAAAGTGAATTACTCTGACAGCGCAGCGTTTCAGACTTGGCTCCAGGCATTTATTAACGAGGGAACAACAAAACAGCACATTTGGGAGGATCAAATGCAGAATCAGACTGTTTTAAGTCAAATCAGATACATTTTTAAAGAACAACCTCAATTTTATACACAGTGTCCCATTTCAGATTAAGATTACAGTCAATCATGAAGCTCCTTTTTGAAGTCTTTATTTTAAAAAAAGGCTTCGCTCTAAATATCACCAGACTGTATCTGTAAGAGAGCTCGGTTTGGGTTTATAAAGTTTTTCCTTTAATGGAAATAAAAATCAAATTGCCAGCCCCAAAAGATGAAAGATCTTGTCACCCATCAAGATCTGCATGTCTCACACTGTCAGGTTTATCTGTGATAATGGGCTTTTATAATGAAAACAGGCCCAACATTCCTGTGTGACTGAAATGTAGTCATGCGCTCCTTGTTTCTCACATGAATGTTAACAAGACACTGACTGATTATAAGCTCAGAGGTGCTGCTTTGTAGCCAACCCCAGCCTCTGTGTAAAGGATTAGATGGAAAAAAACATGAATTGGATCAATTTTATGCGTATTTTACTGGGATACACTGGTCAGGTATTTTATCAGGTCAACCTTGCTATTTTGGGAATGGATCCACTTTTGTCTCCAGAGCTGCTTTAATTTCTCGTGGCACAGATTCGACAGGGTGCTGGACATTGCTCAAAGATTTTATTCCACACTGACATGACAGCATCACAGTTTTTCAACTGCATTTCCATGATGGGAATCTACACATTATATGCTAAAATTGCTCTATTTGAATAAAAATCTGGGGATTGTTGAGGCCCACTGAGCACTTGTGAACTGTGGTCATAAGGGGTCAGCATCAATACTTAGACAAGCCATGGTGTCCAAACAATGCTCAGTTGGTAGTAAAACACTCTGCCATTACACTACCACCAGCCTAAACTGTTGATACAAGGCAGAATGGATCCATCCTTTGACCAGATTTTGACTCCAACATCTGAATGTTGCAACATTTTCCAATCTTCTATTTTCCAATTTTAGTGAGCCCGTCTAAACTGTAGCCTCAGTTTCCTGCTCTCAGCTGACAGGAGTGGCACCCAGTGTGGTCTTTTGCTTGGTGTAGCCCATCTGCTTCAAGGCAAATGTGCTGTTCAGAGATGCTTTTTTGCATATCTTGGTGGTTACAAGCGGTTATTTGAGTTACTGTAGTTTTGGGCCATTCCCTATAAACCCTAGAAATGGCTCTGTTGTTAAATCCCAGTAGATTAGTAGTTTATGAGATACTTAGGCCACTCCCCCTGGCATCAACTACCACGCTACATTCAACGTTGAAAGTTAGCGGGTTGTCTTGACTGTATCTACAAACCTAAATCCACTGAGCTGCTGCCATGTGATTGGCTAAATGGATATTTTCAATGAGTTGTAGGTAAGACGAGTACCTAATAATAAAGTGACTGTGAGTGTTCGGAAACTTTCCCCCTAAAAGATTTATTTTGTTTCCAGGGTTTTTGTTATTTTTAAATGAGCATTTTGTAGTTTTTTGGCCGTTTTCTGTTTAGATCAAACTATGGTATCATCATTTAAACCATTTATGAGCACAATTACAACATGTGAACTGTTTTTCACTTATCAATGGTATATGGACTGATTATTATAGATTGTATTTGAGCACTCAAAGCACTTTAAACAACATGCTCCTTTCACACACATTCATACAAGCATTTTTGTCTACACTAAATAGTGTCTAACAATTACACGGTGATACTTTGGCATGCAGACCGGAGCAGCCAAGAACCAAACCGCTACATATCTACGATATTTTCCCCCACTCTGACTAAAGATAACAGGTCACTGCACAAGAAATTGGGCTGAATCCAGTGTAATGTTTACACGTGTCAATCAATGCAGAGTGACATAACTGACTGCCTTTGTTTCCTTCTATTGGTCTATTAAATGGTTTACTCTGTCCCTCTGAAACCAATTAAAATTTCAACAGGTTTTCTGGGCATTTTCACTATGAATGAGTTGTTTATGTCACACTTTTGCTTTGGAATAGCTCCACAGTGTAGTGGCTTACACATTCTCCCAACAAGCAAAAGATACAAAGCTTGTATCTTTCCCGGGAGGAGAAACAAATCCCTTTTGGGTTGTGTCGGCAAGGCGTACATACTTGTAGAGCAACACACCATGGTGACCCCTTTAGAATAAGGGATTAGTTGAAAGTAGCTTCTTTTTTTTATTATTCTGCTTTAGATTTTAAACCAATTAGAATCAAAAACAAGGCTATATGCAAACATAACTCAGTTAAAAGGGCACTTTTCATTTCAAGCTGTCGTATTAGAAGAAAGATGGCCAAAGTGCCACAATTTCACTGTCTGGCGAGATCTTCTTCAGAGCGTGCCCTGACTGATAAAACTGAAAATTCAATGCCAGTCTTTAAGAGGAAAACCCCCCCCCCCCATCTAATTTGTATCTTAACTATTGTTTTTCACTTGTTTGTTCACTGGGATATGTGCTCAAATGTATTATAATGATATTAAGATACGAAGTTGTACGCTGTGTGTGCGCGTACCTCAGCCACTCTTTCAAGCAGCGGCTCTAGCCAGTGGTCATTACATTCACAGTGAGAGTCCAGGAAGGTGAGGACTGGTGCTGTGGCAGCATCTGCACCACGAACTCTTGATCGCATCAAGCCTGGGGGAAGTTAAGAAAAGAAGTGTGATTAAAAACAACAGTCCTGCTGCCAGACTGAACACTTTCATCCCACATGGTGTGCAGCAGCACTGAGATTTCTTTCGGGCATAAAAGTTATGATAAAACCTTCTTCTTCTAAAGTACCTTCTCTGCGGTCATTTCTCAACACGCGTACTTTCTCAATCTTCCCCAGCAGCGCTCCATCCTCAGCTGGAACACACACAGACACATACAGAGCAGTGATGTTTATTTGTATTTTCACACTGATGATGCTAGCTTTGTTTGCGTGTGTTCACACAACTCACGATTATCACTGTAGTCATCAACCAGAATGATCTCTTTGACCAAGTGAGGTGGACTTTTCTTCAGGACACTAAACAGAGTGAGATCATATAAAAATACAGCACATCTGCCTCAGAATTTGAAAGTACACAAGGCTCAGTATACACGCCTACCTGACCACAGTCCGCAGCAGAGCAGAGCGAGCCTCATTGTGGAAGGTGATGACAACGCTCGAGGCCGGCAGGTCTGACTTCCACTGCTTATGTCTGCAACTGCACAAAAACAAGACAAAACCCCCCAAAGACATAAAAATTAGGGAAAAAAAGAGAAAAAAAATGGTTAAAGTATGAATGCTTACATGCGTAGACAAACACGCCCACACGCACAAACAATCACGTCACCGAATGTGTGAGCCAAGCTGTGAGCTGGAACTGGTCAGTAAAGCGATTTTGAACACAATAAATACGATGGCGCACATAGTGACACTGACACACACACAGAGGATGCAATGACACACACTCTCATGGAGTAATGCTCTGCTGCAGCTGGGATTGACACTGGGTTTATCATACCGTGAGGCAAAAATCCCATGAGATGACGGGTGTGCCTGTGTATGCGTGTATGTGTGTGTGCGAGCGAGCATACCCAAAAAGACAAATCCTGCACCGAATTTAAAGTAAGGAACATGAGTGATAGGGCACTACATGAGAGGAGAGTGACAAGACAGAGAGGAGAAGGAGGAGGAGGAGGAGGGAGCCGATAAGGGCATGAAGAAAACTTTCTATTCCATCTGTCACTTAACTACAGCCACTCTGTCAAACCTCGAGGTAAAAACCCAGAACAGATACGTTTTACAAGATCACGTGTGAAGGTGTGCCATTAGTATTGGCTGTCACACTTGCATAGTTGCTGTATTCCTGTTCATTTCTACTGGGGGAAAAAAGCATCAGAGATTCAAGTCATTTTGATCCTGCGTTGAAAACAACTAGGTGCTTTTGCTGAAACAAAAACAACTGGGCTATTTTTTCCTCCTGGAAATGTTTCACAATGATTGCTGCAGCACGCTCACAAATTACAAAGACATCGATACCAGATCAATAGGAGACACATCCTTGCTCTTTTTAGTAGGCTAATGGCTCCAACTGTCTACTTTTGACCAACATATAAGTAAGGCCAGGTGACTACTTTAACTATGGCAGCTGGACTAATCATTTAGACTATTATGGAGTAGGTCAGTAACATGTTTGGAATCATGTTCTTTTTATATAAATAACATCAAAAAAGTCTAATATCAACATATTTCAAGGTATTTCACAAGCAAAGTATGGAGGGGTCTTTAAAATTCTATAAGATTATGAAAAATAAAACCACAGAGAATTTGAAGAACTTATGCACGGTAGATTGCAATTATCTATGGAGCAAAATAAAAGCTTGGTACTTGTCATGCCTATGACTTTCATGGCTTCAGGGAGCACTGGATGAAAACAAGCAATTCTGTAGTGGAAATATCTGCACGGCCTCGGGGACTCGAGCAAGAATCAGCATCACTGAATGCAGTTTCTCTCTGCATTAATAAAAACAACTTTAAACTCTCCCTTTGCAAAGAAATAAAACAGCGATCGGAGGAGCAACTGAGGCGGAGAGGAAAACTGGAGGCTATTTTCTGTACGATATGGAAAAAAGGACTTGTTTTAGAGCAACGTCTGTGGTCATGGAGATTTTCTGGGCTGACTTGCTCGTTTCAGCAAGACCATGGTAAACCACAACCTGCGCGTACTGCAGCGGCACAGCTCCACTGTAAGTGTTCACGTGATAAAGCCCGTAGTCTCGGTTTTTCACTCGCTCAAAGTATTTGGTGCATCATGAAATTTAAAAACCATAAGAAACCAAAACTGTTCCTCAGTTCTTACATGCTTACAGTGGTGTTTAAAGACAAGATGACGCTGCACCCTGTCACAACTTCACTGAAATGTGTTTAAAGGGAACAAATTGAATGAGAATATGCATTAATAAATATCTTAGTTTAAACACGTGATATGGAATGTTTGTATTAATCATTTAAACCCTATATCATACCAAATATAGAGGACTTAAACTTTCACCATGACTTTTTGTTTATGCTTGCTTTTTAAGAAGTTATTTGTTAGTATTGCTTAGTCCATGTGAGATATATCCAAGATAAAGAAGTCTCTACAAGTCCAGGAAATGGTGTTCCAAATATTTTGGATACTACATATATAAATCCCTTTTTCTGCTGCTGTATTAGAAAAAGTAAAAACTTGCTCTTTAATATTTCAACACTTCAGCGGTGCCTGTTCTCTAGGTGTAAGGCCTTTCTGCTGACATTTTTTCACACAATCCAGCGATTTGGTCTTTATTAACAAAAGGGTAGCACCAGAAGTTAGGACATGCAACCAGACTTATACAACGCTAATGGACTTTTCACTGCCAAAAAGGCCTGTTGAGAACCAAGCTGACTAAAACCTAATATTCTTCTAATAAAAGAATCCAAACGAAGTCATTTTATGATTTTGTTTTGTCCCTTACAACAAGCAGAACAATACGCAGCTTTTACAGCCTGTGAGTTTATTTTAGCACTAAGGCAGACAGTGTCTGCTCCACTGCTACTTCCTGGTTTCCACTGTAACTACAATAGCGAGAGTTCCTGAGAGATCTTATCCAGTCTGGGATCAATTAGTCAAATCAACGAATGTGATAAGACAGCATGTATTCGCAAAAAAAAAAAAAAAAACCCTTTCGATCACCCATGAAAAAGCAGAAGTTAAGAGGAATGTCATTGTGTTTCACATATTAGCTGTGTGTGTGTGCAGTGACACAGGTACGTACTGATCATGTCTCGTGTCTGGTACAGCTCTGTCCATTCGGAGTTTGTCGCTTTCCACCTGGTTGAACTTGTTTCTGGCGTAGGGGTCTTGACCTGGCCGGACCACCGTGGCTCCAACATACAGATCCTGGTCAAAATCCTGCCAGCGCACCTTACCTGGATGGACACACACACACAAACACACACACATTAGGCACATCTCCAACCAGAGATATCCACAATAGATGCGAGGCACACACTGCTTCCCAGTCAGTTCTGTGACCACTTGACCAGGCTCATTCATTTGAAGGTGCCATTTCCTTCAAGGTCACCTTTTTGTGCACCAGCAGTGACTTGATTTTGGGTTTGATGTGGCCAAAAAGCAGCATGCAGCACGGGTCAGATTGTTTCTCTGAAATGTTTTCCCTTCATGTGCCTCGGGACATTACAGCAGAACTTTGTGTTGACAGTCTGGCGCAAAAGCCACTGTGACTGTCCACGCTCCTACTTCAGCTGAAAACTACTCTTTGATCTCTCGGTCATAGCCAGAGACACAGCTCTCATCACAAGCAGCGCTTCTTCACAGGACATTTGGGTCATTTTGAAAGAGAAGTTGATGTTTGTATTGCCAGGGTGCAACCTAAAGATAGCAACCCTAAAAGGAGCGCAGGTGTGTGCGTGAGAAGACAACATTCAAAAGGTAAAACTGGGTAAATTTAAATCAGGTTTTCTTTCTGATTCTAACCTCAGATCTTTTTGTAAAAGCGCCATCTATAATATGATGCTATAAACCCACAAAAATGGTATATTAAATATTCAAATGCACTCCAGAAATATTAAAAACACTGGTGTTAAAAAACTGGTGAACCTAGGTTTTAATATGAAATATTTTCTCATGTGAATTTCTGGGAAATCACGTTAAATAAATACAGCACATCCAAAAATAAAAGCCACCACCAAACGCGATATTAAAACCTTCAACAAAGGCTGCGAATGCGTCTGACGAATGAATGGGATTACAGATCAGTGGGAATATGAAATGTAGGAGGCAGCCTGGCTGATGCAAGAATCCTTCACGACTGACAGCGAGGAAACCTGGCTGCTTCAAGCTGCTGCTTGACGAGGCAGCGACATGGCACTGAGGAAAGCTGACATGAAATTTATGCCGCCTGTATGCGAAAATACGCGGGAGACAACTCAGCCGACAGGGCGAGACTACTTTGGTAAAGCCAGGAAACACAAAAGAACATTTAATATGCACCGCAGACAGTCCGGGGGGGGGGGGCTCTTGTTAATTTTTTGCAGTTTAGAAACATGATTTATAAGATCAGTATAAATAAAAAAAATTTTTAGTGTTTTGTGTCGTGTCAGTTTGACCAAAATACTGAAACGCTGCAGAATAAACGGAGAAAGCCGTCACGTTTAGTTTCACAGTTTATCTCCGACTATTGAGACGCAGACACACACCAATAATAACGCAACTAATTAGCTGGGTGCTGCTGCCACGCTAACAACTCGAGCATGTGGCAGTGAGAGATTACGCCATCTCCCAGCATAGATGAGCGCGTGCATGGCAGAGAAGTTGAAGAGCGCGTGTGCGTCTGCGCGCGTCTCCTGTGGCAGCACGTGAACGTGGTTCGCGTGTCAATTAACCGAAACTCGCGACTATGATCCGCTCGCGACTGTGTAACGGTGCCTCGGAGACGCGTGCGTCAGAGTGTGTGATGTCCTTGCTGATATCTGTGTTTAGTGGCAGCGAGTAAGCGATGTGGTGAAATGAATGTTAAACCCGGGGTTGATTACTCCGCTTCCTTCAGCGGATTAACGCTCCGCTCTCTCCGGGTTAACGCTCCGCTCTCTCCGGGTTTGCCCCGTTTTTCTGCTGTGTTCGCGATACCGCGAGGCCTCTTCGGCAGGTACATCCATGTGCGCTCAGCCTCTGTCATGCAGTACTGGTCAATGATGCGATCAGCTGGCTGAAATTATAGCTGTTTGAACAGCTTTCACTCTCACTCCGACGCTCGGTCGCTGAACTGTTTCAGCCCACAGCGGCTGACTGGTTGTTGTTTTTGTTTGTTGCCGCATTTTGTAGAAATCACTCATCGCGTTTCTAAGTGATGCTAACTGCCAAAAAGAATTCAAGCTCAGTGTCATTCCCCCAGTCTGTGCTGAACCATGAGCCCTCACTGCCCAGCAGACAGCTCAGAGGGCACCAGTGCTCGATGTGTATTTAATGGATGCGTTTCAATTGAGATGCATCCTGATCCCACTGCCTGAACTCCAGACTGCAGCACCAATCTGTGCCACTGCTCCCTTGCACCAAGTGATGCATTCACGAACCTGCTACTTAGTCACTGTAGTCACTGAGAAGGATGTTGATTAATATGCAAAAGCTAAAAGATTCCCAAGTTATTGAGTTTGGCGTTACTGAAGCTGTGTTACTATTTTAGGCTTAAGTAGGGAAAAGACTGCTTCCCCATGTGCTACAAAACACTCCGTAGATTCATAGGATTGCGACTGCTGAAAATGCGCCCACATAGTCATTTATCAAGACCTCGATTCACTACGGCACTTCATCTATAAATAAATGAATACTCTGACCAACACTGCCACTGTCTGCGTCTTATTCAGCAAATAGCTAGAAAGAAGTAGATAAATGGAAGGGCGTCAAATCTGAATTTTTATAACGCGTTTTCAGCAGATTTAGAAACTAAAATCGCAGCAGAGAATTGGATCGCTCCACTTGCAGGGACTGAGATTAACACACCACAGTTGGCTAAAGCTTGTGACAAGTTAAATCACTATAATAACAGAAATATGCGCTAAACACACAGACTGAAACAACTCTGTTGTTTCACTGGCACAAAGACTAAAACGTTTTGGGAAGAGGTCGAGGTGACGCGTGAGAAAATTTGTTCAGAAAGAAATTCCACTGGACTCTGAGCCGCTTCGACTCCTTTGCATCCACAAGAACATAAATATGAAAAGTAAACAAAGTGGCGTCAGCTAAAGTTCTAGCCAAAAATCTATAAAAGCATCATTTTAAATAACTACACTCAGCAGCCACTTTATTAGGCCCACCTAATCAGCAAATCACATGGCTGCAGTTCAATGAATTTAGGCATGTTGATGTAGTCAAGGTGATTGGGGAAATAATTATTTGATCCCCTGCTGAATTTGTAAGTTTGCTCACCAAGAATTGAACCCCCCCCCCGCATCACATATCTGGCTAATCACACAAACAGGTGTCACCTTCTCACTGAACTTCTTACTGATGACGTTGTAGCCTGTTCCAGCCTCATTCACGTCTACAGTCCTGTCCCTCGACATCATCTGACAGCTCTTTAGTCTCACACATGGTGGTGGAGAAGTTGGACTGAAAGAAACTGATTTTGTAGACAGGTGTACTAGTTTAAATACTTTAACTTGTGTAATGCGTATTTTGTTTTTTAAATCTGTTTCAATTTAAAAAAAAAAAAGAGATTGTTCATTTCCCTGGAAGTGAGCAAACTTACAAATTCAGCAGGGGATGAAATAATTATATACCCCACTGTGAGTCTGAATGTGGGATGGTTGTTGGTGGCAGACTGGAATACAGCAATATTTCCCAGCACTTTGGCGAATCAAAGCTATGAGGAATTAAGGGAGTTCTGAAGGCAAAGAGGGATCAGCCTGGTACTGACGAAGTAGCCGGCGAGCGCAAATAAATGTTTAGTACCAGACAAGACAAATGATGCCAAACGTTCACTAGAAAGAATAACACATACTGAGAGCTTTGAGGAGTTTTTTCTTCACTTTGTAAAGGATTCGGATTTGGAAGAGGGCCAGTGCAGGCTTGTTTTGACTTCTCTGAAAAAAAATTTTTTCTTCTTGTTTCAGAGGATTTGGATGTGTTGAATGGAAGGAGCATGCTGTTGCTCCCTCCCCATCTTAGTCATTTTTTCCCCTTGTTTGAATAAAACATATTTTTGGCATGCTCAAACGGTAAAACGATAACAAAACGCTTAAAAACAACCATGAAAAATAACAAGGCATCAGTGCAACAATGAAACATTTCTAACATACTCAGAGTGACACAGTTTAGTACATTTTATGCTTTAATTTTTTTAAATGAAGATCTGAGGTATCGCCTCACCTTTTTACTTTATAATGACTGTCTGAGTAGGATTAGATAGAAAACAAAACATAACCAGCACCCATCTTTGACGAACCCAAAGACTTACTTATTTACTCTGTTTTTATTAGTAAATCTTTTACTCTTCCACGTATCTCTTAGGCTCCATCTCCTTGTTCTCTTGCTTTCTCAACACTTTCCTTCTGTTTTCTTTCTGCTCTTCTTAAGTGTCCTTGTGTGCTCTGGGTGATGTTGTGATACGCTGTCATTGCTGAGTGTAATGTCACCCTGAAATTGAAATGCCCTCACTTCAACATTCAAATTGGATAGCATTGCTGGATCAGATAAGAGAGTGTGTGTTCAGCGTTCGCAGGTCACGGGCCTGTGAAGGAGGGGCGTTGGCTGCTTCTGCTGCTTTGAGTCAGCCTGACGACGGGTGCTGAATGAGAAATCAGATTCTCCTCCTGCTCTCCTCTTGGCTGCTGGACACTGAAACAATGTCTCTCAGAGTTTGGGTGGAGACGCATAGTTGGTTTGTGGGAAGATCGAAATTGGCTGCCTGGATTATTTTGGACAGGCAATCGGCTCCAACCTGTTTTTAAGTCGGGATCATACAGATGTGCGTATTTCATTGGGTTCCCTCGCTGTGGTTATTCAAACACGATAAGGTTAAGGATGTTCATGTTCTACTGGTAATAAAACAAACTATGCTGCTGTGTTACCGCGTTTTGAAAAAGGAAATGGTTTCGGTTGTGGGAACATGATGCGGAATACTCTCTGGATACATGAATGTGGTTTACAGTGACTGCAGTGCACATGCTCTGCAGCTGGTATGCATTTGTGTCGTGCCTTTTCCTAGAGTTCAGTCACAACTGCAAGCAATGAGAAAGTGAACTCCACAGATCCTGAAGGATCAAGAATAAAAGACAAATTTGACACACATGTGCCTCAGACATGAATCGTTCCTGCCAGTTAAAGGGAACTACTACACTACTTTTACAGGACAGCAGGTCTCGGGAGCACTACTGCAAATGTACCACTACGTTAGCTACAAGTTTAAGAAGTTAAGAAGAAGACAGCTTACCAGAGCTCTGAAGCTCCATTCCCATGTCTGCACAGGACAAATTAAGCGTTATTAGGACAACACAACCAATGGCTGTCAAGATGCATTGTGAGCAATAAACTGTATATAAAAGCTGCCAAGCCTGACAAGTTAAGTAAATGTGATTTTTTTTCTAACAATGTGTGCTTGCAAAGATAAGAAGAAGTCTACTTCTTGCATGATTTATTACCCTTGCAAACACTTTATTAACAAGTATGTCATCTCAATTGCTCATATCAAACCTTAATTATGTATGATTTTTTTTTTAATTATGGCCTCATTTTAAGTAAATACAGACAGTAAGCCACAGCTTGCTTTTGGCTCCACTAATTTACAAGTCACTACTGTATAAGAGTGAGCATCCACAGTTTTTACAGTCAGATCCACTCCTCCTCCTGTGATGTGTGGTTTAAAAAACAAAAACAACAATATACTGAAAGCAGGACTCCACCCCCCAATAGCTGAGGCCACAGTGGCTACATCCAAAACTGATATATGGTGTGTGGTTTTAACAAGGAGAAACAGCATCTGGAATAAAAACAGATGTTTCTCAGCCTGTTGCATTGACTCTATTGAAGTTGTAGCACCTCAGAGGTTTGCTCTCTGAATGTCCCCATTTAGCCGTGTAACTGGGCCAGAGAGGTTGTGATATATGATTTGTGGGGACGTTTCCTACCTGGTGGCAGTGTCTCCGGGCCGTGGGCTTTGTCGTCAGAGTTGTGACCTTTGGTCCTACCGGACAAGTCCCTGGACACCCAGTCATCCTGAAAACATTAAGAAAGGCGGTTAGTCACAGTTCTCACACTGTGAGCTTGGGTACAAACAGCAAACAAACCTGAAGCAAGGCAAACAGAAGTGAGTTGAGTGTATGAACATCTGATTTGTTTGTATTTGGAAGCGCTGTGAAGATTACAGAGAGAAATGTGCAAGGAAAGACAAAATAGGACCTCACAATGCAACGTAACATGCAGAATGGAAAGAGCTCATTTTAGCTTCACTAGTTCAAGTCTTGGACACCGCTAGAGTAGCTCTGCGTGAGTCCCAGCTCGTAAATGATCCCCATTTATCTTCTACTGGACCTTGATGGACATTTTAGCTCTTCTATCTTTATAAGCCAACTTTGATCTGATTGGCTTTCCTTCAGAAAAAGGTTTAAACAGCAGGTGGGTGGCTGTGTGAGCAGAGCTGTACGCATGAGAGCACATTAAGGATATTCCCTCCCTTTGACATCAAACAGAGCAGTTTGAAACCGAGCGTTTAGACTTTTCTGGAGCTTGAGAAGCACCTCCAGTTTGAGCGCTCCTTTTTTCAGTGAAACCTCATGAAATCAAATTCACTATTTAGATAACAGGATGTCCAGCAAACATGGCTCTACTGGTCAAAGATGTTGAACAGTCAAAGCACTTAAAAATCAATAAATTATCCAGTCAACGTGTGCTTTAGAAGGGTTTCATCATCAGTTAAAATACGCACACTCCCGTGATCATCCGCAGCCTGTCAGTTTCTCTCCGTTAGCCATTTAAAATCAATGCTGGCAGCGATTCAGAGGTCGACTCGTTCGTTATTTCACTCACTAATTTGGCTGTTCTTTTCCTCCTCTTCTGTTCATGATTCCATAATTTCACTCATTCATTTTATCCCTGTAAAGTCATCTTCTGAGCCCTTCTGAGAAACACCGTCATTGTCTTGCCCACACCATTTGTACAAATGGACAGATGACCGAGCCACCCATCCATCCTCTTGTCCACATAAGTTACAATTAAAACCCACCGGATCGATACGCTGGCAGGGAACACAATTAGCAGCATTCACTCTGGGTCCAGGCTGCTGCCCTTGACTTCAGAAATACTATTATTCAGCTTTCTTATTTGCTCTGTAGCCCGCATTTCACCTTCAGCCTCTCCAAAATGTGTTATTGATCCGTTTTCTTTATGCCTTCAGGACAGGCAATAACGATGTGATGTCACAAACCACCGCAGACCGTACTCAGCTGTTAATTTCTACCTCTGACAGAAGGGCTAATAGGGATTTTCACAGCTTTTTTATGCATTAATATTAGCAAAAACAACTGCTGTTGTTTTCTGTGACTGTTGCCCATCATTTAACTGTATGCCAAATTTTTAAATCATCTGCTGTGGACAGAGTCTCAGTCTGTTCTGAAACCACAACCTTTTCTCAGTGACTGCAATAAGATTAGACCGTCCACTACCTGCAACAACTATATATAAAAAAAATCCTACATAAAATCAATTTCTATAAGTGCTCAGGACAGATGAGTGTGCGCACAGTTAGAGAGTAATGTTCGGAGTAGGATAAAGACTAAAGCTGGCAGTGTACTTCCTGTGCAACACAGTCTGACAGGTTCTGAGGGGTAAGAATAAAACATGGGGGCTGATTTTCTGGTAAAATAAAGCAACAAATTGGTGCAGGACTTCTTCCTGGTGAAGCAGTTTTCTGAAAAGGAAACAACTTGCAGACATTTTACAATCAACTCTTCAAATGCTGACTGCATTATGAGCAAATAATAAGCCACCTTTCATTATAATAAGTGATTGAGAAGAGATCAAATTAAGATTATACTTGTTATAAAGGAACACACCCCCTTCTTGAATTCTCATTAGTTTTGATGATCTGTATTCTTTGCAGTCGCTGATCATACTCGTGTTTGCACAAGTCTTTCAAGTACGACCAAACACTTCAACGTGATTATAAGACAATTATTCATATCAGCCAAGGTGTCTCTTTGTCTCTGTCAAGACAAATTTGATCGCATCTATCACATCTTCACTCTCTCCCAGCACGCCCACCCCCACCAGGAAACTGTCATCTGTTTCTTTATACGTCTGGATGCCTCCCAGTCCACCGCGCAGACCCACTACAGAAGCAGTTACATGCTGAAACGCTGCTGTGAAAAGACCTCCATCTAAAGCATCTGTGCTTATGTGCAGCAGCATCATGCACAACATCAAATGTGCAAAGCAGACCTAGGCCAGTGCACAAAGACACTGGATAACCAGGGGATCTAACCTAACACAGCTGGTATAAACCTTACCAGAGGACTTTATATATCATGAATTGAAAAAAAGAAAAGGAAAAAAACTTCTAAATGAAGTCCTCATTTTTAATAAACACTTCTCCTAGCCCTTACAATTTGTGGAGGTAAAGTGACCTACACCCCGTAGATTCTACTGATATTTAATCGCATCAGTAAAGCAGAAGGCCATTGTACAGTACACCATTAAACACTATGTCGTGCACTAGAGACATTTTTACACGTTTCTTTGCTACAGCAGGAAAAGTACAGGTGCTGATAATGCCGAGTCTGTTAGAGTGATTAGTTCCAATTTTTTTCTTCATTAGTTTCCATTTTTAATTCATCTCAAGTTTTTTGTTTCAGTTCAATTTAACTCCATTCGCTTGCTTCAGTTTAGCTTTTAGTATCTGGAAATGTAGGTTTAGGTTTTATGAGTTTCTATGTTAGTCTTTTTTATTACTATACTGTGGGGTAGCGGGGTATTACAAAAGGTCTTAGTCACATACAACATATACACCAAAGCCTCAGACTGGCTGCTGTGCTGACAAACCTGAGGAAAGTGAAAAAGACTAAAACTGAGGAGATCTATTTTCTTCTGCTTATCCAACTCTGGGTCATAGGGGCCGGAGCCTATCACAGCTGTCATGAGGTGAACACCCTGGACAGGGCTTACACAGAGAGAGAGAGACAACCATTCAATTTAATGATTTAGAAGTGCCAGTTAACCTAAAATGCATGTTTTTTGACCTAAAGAGGGGAAGAGGGTACCGAGATTGAACCCATACAGGGACAGACTCCACAACGAGCCCAACTGTTTTTAGTTACATCTCTTCTTTTTTCAGCGATTCACTGTGGAAATGTCTTTACACTGACACAACAGGAAGTTTCGCCGGTCTGGCCCACTTACGGTCGAGGTGGGCTGTATGTGGCCTACGATGTAAAAGGAGTCCGATATCCCTGATCTATCAGGAGTGTAGCTTGGCTTATTTGAATAATGAAGGCGGTTCCTTGTTCCACATGGACATCTTCTCGCTCCAAATCTGTGACCCTGCAACCTCTTTAGCCATCTCACAACATACCCAGCAGGTTTGAACAAACTCAATCTCGATCTCTCTTTCTTTGTCCCCAAAAGGATTCGTTTGTCTTTTTTTTTTTTTTAAAAAAACAAAGAAGACAGTTGGAGATGGAGGTGAGCAAAAAGGCAAGAAATACTCTTAAAATAATAGCTGGAAGATGAAAGAGGAGTCAACCAGAGAAAAGGTAATTGGAGATAAAGTTGGGGGAAAATAAATCCCTGGTACAGCTACGTGCTTCCCGTGTAAACTTCTCTGTGACTTATGGGAAGTACTCTCCATCACAGATCACACCACGATAGAAAACGTTAAGAGATAATGAGAACAATGCAGTGCTGTAAGGAGCCAGGCATGTGATTTATCAACAAATGGTTACTATAAATATGACAAATCGCTGATTGAGACATGATTTAAACAAGTAAGTAGGGAGCAGATGTTGACGAGCTATTTTTATAGCTCACATCATATGAACGGCTTGAAAACCTCTTAGTGAAAGTGGCCTCGGCCCCTCTTTGGCTCTCCTCAAAGCACAAAAAAATGACTGATTAGAATGATGTCCACTTAAAGAGAAATAAAATCAACCTCAGTGATGCACTGTGGGCTTTTGGAAACAGAGAAAGGCACGATGTTGAGCAACTGTTAACCCCTTGATGTCGGGTTCATGTGGTTTGTTCTGACTGTTAATTGAATCTCAATGATTTTTTCCACAGCATCAAACTAAGCTGCAACCTCTGGGGCTAAAAAATAAAGCCAACACAAAGTGCTAAGAACTCCAGTTCCTCTAATAGCTTCACGAGGCAGGCTCCAAAAGCTAATTTCCCCTTCATAACAACTGTACTGGGGTGATTTTCTTTTCTGTCCCAACAACACATTTGGATTTTGTTAAGGCTCACTACAATGTTTAAAACTGACGCCTCACAGCATGAAGACTCCTCGTGTGAACCCTGGCTAGAACCATTCTGTACCTTCACTGGATTGCTCTCACAATCCATTCGAGCGAGTCTGACAATGGTCAAACTGTGCTGGCTAGATGACTGGGTCAGAGCATCTCCAAAACTGCGGCTCTTGTGGAGTATTCCTGGTCTTTATGGTTAGTATCTAACAAAAGTGTTCCAAGGAAGGTGAACAGCAGTGAACCTGGTCATGAGCAGCCAAGGCTCATTGATGCACGTGATTGATGCACAAGGCTGACCCACGTAGTCCGATCCAACAGATGAGCTACTGTAGCTTAAACAGCCAAACAGGTTAATGCATATTCTGATTGAAAGTGTCAGAATAAACCGTGCATCATAGTTTGTTGCATGTGGGACTGCAAAGCTACAGGCCAGTCAGGGTGCCCCATGAAGGTGCCAATAAGGGCCATGTGAACATCAGAACTGGACAACAGAGTGATGGAAAAAGACAGCCTGATGAATCACGTTTTCTTTTAGATCACGTGGATGACCAGCTGCGTTGTTTATCTGGGGAGAAGCTGGCATCCGGATGCACTATGAGTAGAAGTCAAGCAGGCGGAGGCACTGTAATGTTTTGGGCAGTGTCCTGCCATCCATGTGGATATTAGTTTGACATGTACCACCTAAGCACTGTTGCGATGCATGCACATCCTTTGATAGAAAGAATACTCCCTCATGGCTGTGGCCTCTTTCAGCAGGATAAT